GCTTTCCCACTTTCTTCCTTAGTAGCACTGGAATTAAGATAAAATATTTAAAGGAAACCGAACTGACATAGGCAAGACCAGTCCACTGAATGGGAACGTTCAAGAGACTACACTTCTTTAGGGCTCTTTCTCAAAGTCTGCAGTTCCAGTCCTTGTGAAAATGTAAAATTCATTTTGCATTGTAATTTCCTTTTCTTAGCCTCTGGTTGCCCATAGAAGCAGGGTGCCTTTCTGTACCCTCCATCTTGCAGTATCTGCCAGTCCACTTCAGGCCTTGTACAACAAAGGGCAGATACAGAGGACTATAACCAAAAACATAAGCCTTGCTTTAAAAAAAAAGGAAGGGGGGAGAAAAGAAAAGGTATACAGCCCTATCTCAGGGCCTGCAAGTGTGTGTGATAGGTAGGGAATAACCTTGGCAAGAAGAAGTATACTTACCTGCTTGATTAAACAACTTACTTTATTCCCAGAACAGTATTAGATCATTTTGTCTTGGAGCAAACTAAAGAGATCTCTTATTATACTTGCATATACCATACCTATCCAACTTGTTGGCAACCTGTCTTCCTTAATGTAGCCTGGCACAATTTATGGTCTATTAAACCAAACAAGTTCACTAATCAAGTACTGTGTTCACAGGTGCTTGACAATTCTTCTATCCCATCACAAAAAAAGGCAGTAAAAAGCCAGGAGGTTTATTAAGTCCTTGGTGAATCACAAGTGCCTGGAGGATTATAGTTAACTTGGTGGAATCAAAAGTTGGATACTTGCCCTAATATCTGCTTCATCAGTATCAATCTTAAAACAGAGTCTAATTTAGGCTGCAAAGATCTAAAAAGGAACGCCAACATAGCTGATAAAATATGGCCAAACAGAAAGTGCATTATATAACCAAAAGGGTTGTCTTCATCCTTTGCCATGTATGCGTGTCTGTTACCTCAAAGAGAGAGGCCAAGTAAGAAAGATAGAGAACAAGTAAGAACTCATCTTAATACGAAAAGCAATACTGAACTGCTAAACCTCCAAAGATTCACACTTATGCAGAATGCAGTGAAACTTGGAAATGGCAGGCCACATCTTCTGCTACTTTTTCAGGCCATTCTCACAGACAGCAGAAGAACCACTAAGGCTCACATTTATGGGATTTTGATAACAGACAATAACACTTAAAGGGCTACTTCTGAATCCACTGCTAACATCTGGAAGACTGACTTATCCTTATCACTGATTGGAAGACCCTAAATACAGTACAGCAGAAACTACAATTGCATATTTTATGCCACAGGGCAAAACTGCTCCACATGCACACATGCATAGCACACCACACTCTAGTTTGCAGTGTGTCAAATGGTAGTTGAAACATTACAGCCATATCAAGAGAAAGGAGTAGAAAAAACTGTGAACAGGAGCTCACCTGAGGCTTTATTTCGCATCAGCCGCACCTCACGGGGCTGGAATCCATGTGCCTGCAGCTGGGCCCGGATCTACAGATGCAGAGAGACTGTTAATAATGCCAGTAACAGGAAGCTTTAACATAGCAGTCACTGAAAGAAGTAGGGAATGCTAATGAATTCTTGTATGGGCTGTTCTCCAGATGCTGCTCAATTACAACTGCCAGTAACCCCAACCATCATCCCAATGGAGTTCAGTAACATTTGAGGCCACAGCTTCTCCATTCCTGAATCAAAGATCCCAAAGTGCCTTTTAGCCCAAGCAACCAACTTACATCACTCTCAGTGGCAGATTGAGGCAACATCCTCAGCATAATGATACTGCTAGCCTTCTGTTCTTCTTCTTCTTGTTCAGTTCGATAGTCTTGGTCCCGGTAATCGCCATCACCAGGAAATCCCAAATGCTCATTTGGGCTATCTCGCTTTCTGTGTTGTGTCTCTGATCCTGAGGAGGCCTCATAAGAATCCTAGGCAACAGTAACACAGAAGACGACAGCTCACCAGGGTGGAAGCCAAGACTGACTTAGACAAGGAAGTTCCCAGTCTTGCAGGCCAAGTCTAGCAATGTACAGGCAACCACAATACCATCACGTGGCTGCTCTCCAAGCATTCTGCCAAATGGATACAATATTTTATGAACGAACAGTTATCTACAAGCCCAATTCCAGTCTCTCTTTCCATTATTTTGCATATAGTCCTACATGATTTCTTCATACAGCCTGCAATAGCCCTCCCCAATCAGCTGCACTTTGAATGGCATGGAATTTCCTTAGGGATTCTAAAAGATGAAAAGAAGTTCTGAACCATAAGCCTAAAGGATTCTTACCCATACGGCAGCAGTTAGTCAAAGGCTCAGAGTTATTCAGTTGCTCAGAAAAGCCATTACCTTATTGTTGCTGAGAAAACTACATGGCTGTGACCATGAAATCAATAGGAGACGAGCTTGACTGGAAGGAGACTTTACTCTTAACTTACCTCCACACTGTGTTCTTCAGAGGAATCATCATAATCATTAGCAGGTTCCTGGCTGTTGAAATCTCTCATGTAGGATCGATAATCCATATCTCTGTAGTCATGGTCCCTCTGATTCCGCCCTTCTGAACTTTCATCCTGAATCTGCTCAACAGCACCATACCGACCTGTTCGATCCCCACGGCCACCTCTAAAGTGAACAAAATGAAGAAATGTTAAAAAGAATTTTAAAGTACCAACACTAATACTGACAACGAGGGAAACATATTCCCTACTAAAACCTTTCGTTGCAGCTTCCAAATACCACTACTGAAACAGAGGAAAAAACT